GTTGAAATAATTCAATTGGTATGCATCAGAGAGTTGTACAGTGAATAGAGATGACAGAGAATTGATGCCTTTGAGCTGTAGTGCTGGAGAAGAGTGTTGAATATACCATGGACTGCTAGGAGAACAAACAGGTTTGTCCTGGTGAAGCCAGAATGCTCCTTGGCGTCAAGGATTCTGAAGCTTTGTCTGACATACTTTGGGCATGTTGCAAGGAGGGACTGATCCTTGGAGAGGGACATCATGTTCGGGAGAGTGGAGGGACGGCGCAGGAAAGGAAGACCCTAGATGAGATGGATCTATTCTGTGAGTGGAGTGGTGGTAATGAGTGTGTTTGAGATAGCGAGTTTGGCACAGAATAGAACAGTGTTTAAGGCTCTTGTACATAGGGTCACTATGAGTCACAAGCCACTCGATGGCACATAATAAGAACAACAACATATTAAAATTATTGTCCACATTAAGACTAGTAAAATGAGGTTAAGATATTTCTCGAGACTTTAGTAAAATCACATTAATTTCACTGTCATTTTATTTTTCCTTTCTTCCTTACCATTCTACCTTAACTAAAATCACAGTGATTTACATTTGAATTATTTATTCCATTTCTAATTTGAAAGACTGATGAATAAAATAGTATGTGAACTATTTTCTATCTTCAAAAATACTTCCTGTCTTTGATTTAGATGTCCTTTTATTGAAATGATTCCCTTTGAGATTTTCTCCTGCATCATAAGAACATTTACCCATGTCACATCTTTTTGGAATCCAATGTCCTCTGTGACCAGCTGGTCCATCCCAGCTTCATCAATCGCAAAATGGTCAAGTATCTCCTTCCTTCTTTTCTATATCCCTCCTTTCTTCCCTTCCTCCCTTTCACTATCAAATGTTTACCCAGGAACTGAAAACAATTGTGAAAATTGAATAAATAATTGTTTTGTTTCAAATTTCAGCACTGTGCTTTGTTCTTTCTCCATGGAAGATCTAGTGAATCTTAGTCTTATAAGATATGTAAATGAAGCATCTACTCCTAGAAGAGGAATTGAGCCTTTAGTGGAAAGATACAATAGCAAACCATATTTGCCAAAAATGCTTCTTCTCTCTGTGATTCATCCTACAATTCTCAAGAAAAAATGTTCTATAAAATTTAATTAATCCAGGGTATATTCCAGGTAGCGGAATAGCTGGGTCATAGGGAATGTCTATGTTCAGCTTTTTGAGGAAGCTCCAAACTGCCTTCCAGAATGGTTGTACCATTTTACAATCCCACCAAAAATGTGTAAGAGTTCCTTTCTTACCACATCCTCTCCAACATTTATTACTTGCTGCTCTGCTAAACTTTGCCACTGTTACTGGAGTGAGATGGTACCTCATTGTGTTTTTTATTTGCATCTCTCTTATTGCCAGTGATTTGGAGCATTTCTCCATGTGTATGTTTACCATTCAAATATCTTCCTCCGTGAAAATTCTTTCCATGTTTTTTGCGGTTATCAGTCTTTTTCTTGGGGAGGCTCAGGAGTATTCTGTAAACTTTTATTATAAGACTCTTGTCAGAGATGGTATTACCAAATGTTTGTTCCCAGTCTGCAGGTTTTCTTTTCACCCTGCTGGAAAAGTTTTTGATGCACACATAGATTTAACCTTTAGAAGGTTCCATGCATCAGTTTTATCCTCTTCAGATTGTGCATTTCTGGTTGTATTTGTCAGTCTCTTTATATCTTGGACTAGTGCTTCTAAGCTTCATCCCAGTTTGTCTCTTATGAAGGTTATGCATTTAGGCTTTACTTTCAGGTCTCTGATCTACCTTGAGTTGATTTTTGTGTGTGGTGTGAGATGTGGATCCTATTTTAGTTTTCTGCAAAAAATTCCATATGACCTAGCTATTCCACTACTTGGAATATACCCTAAGAAAATGAGAACTGAAGCATAAATGAATATTTGTACACCAATGTTCATAGTAGCATTATTCACCATTGCAATAACATGGAAACAGCCCAAATGTCCAACCACAAACTAATGGATTGAGAAATTATGGTACATTCACACAATGGAATACTATGCAGCACTCAGGAGCAATGCTTTTGGAAATTATTACCTAACTTGGGAGGGACTGGAGAGTATTATGCTGAGTGAACTAAGTCAGTCCCATAAGGATAAATATTGTATAAAATCATTATTGTACAATGAGTATAAGGATACCAGAGGGGTAGGAGAGGCTGGAAGCAGAGGGATATGGATGTATAGGAGTAGGGGGCATTAATCATTAGGTTATACAATGTGATGGGTGGGGAGGTGAGAAAAATTGAAAGAATTTGTTTGAATTTGTATTTTAATTTTGTAAGTAAACTAGTAGAAAATTAAAAAAAATACTTGGAAAAAATTTTAAGTAACCCAACACTGTTAGGTACTGAGACTTCTACTTGTTGTTATGTGCTGTTGAGTCACCTGTAACCCATAGGGACCCTATGTACAGCATCTCTGAAGCCAGTCTCACTGATTCCAACATCCCTATCCCCATGAGACTTCTATTTATTCATTCAATATTACTACAGTCAAACAAAAAGAAAGAATAAGTCTCTTTCATAGTTACAAAATCTCATGTATGGTCCCACACTTCATTCTAAACTTCTCCATTATGGACCAGCATTTACAATTGCTTAAATAGATTCTCGGAATCTTGTTGAAAGTTAGAATCTTGTTGACAATTTGAAATTATATGACACATAAGGATATGCCTGTGATTAAAATATTCTCTGGTTTACTTACTTCAATAAATCTTGTGATTTGTGTTTATTTTATTGTCAAAATTGAAGTTTTTATTCCACTTACCAAATCCTTATCCTGCTAGGTGCACAACACTAGACGAGCTTGATACAAACAAACCTAAGATAGGCAACTCACCTTAAGTCACTTATGTCTTAAATAAGAGGATGAGACAAATCCAAATAAGAAATTAGACACACTAAGAAAATTGCCATGATTCAAAGGAAACAAAAGGAGGGTGCTTGGGCTGAATAGTGACTAGTGAGTACAGTGTAATGTCAGGAAGATTTCAAAAGGGAGAGGGATTATGCTAAGTGAAGGAACTCAGTGCCATAAGGACAAATAATGTATAAGACATTATTGTAGAAACAGATAACTAGTAAAACATGAGAAGCTAAGGGGAGTAGGGTGGGAGGACAGGGGTAAGGATGGGTGGGGGTCACACAATTTGATGGGTGAAGGAAGAGATGGGCAAAGGAAAAGAGAAAGATACAGTGTGAAAAACCATGTATATAAAGTTTATAAGTAAACCAGTATTAAAAAAGAAAAAGTTTATATTAATTTTTTTTAGAAAAGGAGAGGGAGACATTTTTGTGGGAAAGTTGGTGTCTATAACAGCTTTCATTTCCCATAGCCTTATGAAAGGTTTGCATTCTTACATGTATTTATTTCACCCTCTTTCTTTACTTTTAAAAAAAATTCATTTTTTATTATTTTTGTGTGTGTGCCATCAAAACGGATCTGACTGGTACAGGAGGCGATTGCCCCCCCTTCTCCAGAAGAGCATCTGGTGGATTATTTCTTTACTTTTTATTTTGTTCTAAGCTATTTAAATATTAACATTATTCATTTTACAAACATCTTACAACATTATTTTAAGTTGTGTGAACAAATTTCCAGAAAATCTAATCAGGCTTTGTTAACTCAAAATTGATAATAATTTGTATAAGGGCTATTGAGGTAACTTCGTGGAACAAAGAATTGCACCAAGATTAGTATAACTGAAGAGAAGATTTTAGAATTTGAGGAAAACATGTAATTTCAGATAATTTTAATAAACTTTAAAAGGATACTTCTAAAGTTATTACTACAATTTCTCTAAGATACATAAATTTTCCTTTATAGCTTTGTTTCTATTTATTATGTATTTTTAAAGCAATGCTTAACTAATCTCTGTTTATTTTGCCACATTTTACAAAATTTAGCATTTCCATCAAGTCTAAGTGGGGTTTGTTAGTTTCAGAGCTCACCCATAACTGACCCTTCTGTAGGTTTTCAGAAGTAGTAAATCCCATGGAAGGAGATTGCCCATCTTCCCTGCTTTGTGGTTGGCAGCAGTACCATTACCCTTACCTGTGTTATCTTTACCCATTAGGTCCCTGTTTGAGTTTCTGATGGAATAGATACATGTCTAGGAAACTCATATTTTCCATTTTAAAGGGCATACAATTGTCCCCAGGAGAGACTTCTTGCATTTCTCCATGAGAGATTGGTGTCTGACCTTTTTGTCTTCTTCATAAGTAGATTTATGATCTACAACAGTTAAGGGAGGTTCATGAACCAGGTAAGAAAGTTGAGACTTGGAGCGCTGTCGGATGGAATCTCTGCAAATAAACAGAAGGATGAGTCAATGGATTGCAGGCAGGTTGGAGCAGAACTCAGCAGGTTTCAAAACTTACATTGCATTGACAGATAAACAGAAATGACTGGTAGGTCACGTGGCAACCAGATTTGGGAGCATCCTGGTTGAGTTTGACAGGCAAGCCTTAAAAACTGAACACTAAATCTATTTGTGTAGAGTAGATTCTAACTCATAGCAAACTCTCCAAAACAGTGGAACTTCTCCACAGGCCTTCCAAGGTTATAATCGTTATGGAAGCTGGCTGCCACATCTTTCTCTTCCAGAGTGAGTGGGGGGTGAGTTTGAACTGCTGACCTTTTGGTCAGCCGCCAAGCACTTTAGTCATTGGGCAACTGAGGCTTTTTCTAAGCTCTCCTGCTGGCAGAGCAAATCAGCAGATTGCTGGGGTGAGAAGTGCAAGCTCTTTGAATTTTTTAACACTGATTCAAATCGCAGCCAGGAAGGTGGAAAAGAAGAGGAAGAAAGTGTTCCAACCAGTCTACACACACACACACACACACACACCCCAGGACTATGAACCTACATGATTCTGCCAATTTCTACACTTCCCTTCTGATAGTAGACTGTGATTTTTAAAATTTTCTTTCTTTGAAGGGTATACCAAAGTAAATTTAGAGTGAAATGGCTTGGATACTAATGAGTCGATAGAAGGAAACAAGGCCTCTAATGAGTTTTTCTCCAGACTGTATACCATTCCCTAGGCATGCAGTAAGTCAGCAAATATACAAGACAGAATAAAGTTTCCATTCACTTATTTATTCAACAGATGTTTATTTGACACCTATGATAATGCAAACCAGTGTAAGGTGCTATGTGTGTGTATGGCAGATGGTGAATAATGAAGACTGGTTAATCACAGACATTTCCCTAAAAAAGAAACCTCACCACCATTGAGTCAATTCTGATTGAGAATAGAATTGCCACACAGAGTTTGAAGGGTATAAATCTTTACAGGATCTACCTGTCGTATCTCTCTCCAGCAGAGTGATTGGTGAATTCAAACCACCCACCTGTCAGGTTAGTAGGTGAGTACTTTACCACAGCTACTGCATCACCAAGGCTCCTTACTTCTCTCTCAACCAGTTTAAAATGCTATAAGTGCCCATCAACAAATGATTGGATAGAGAAGCTGTGATATATTCACACAATGGAATACTATGCTGCATTGAAAAACAAGGAACTCATGAA